TATAAATACTGCATATTAGCACACATGAAAATACAACTTCTAAGGCACCCAGAAATGTGTTCACACACGTTACAGGACCATTCACAAAGAGAGTGTACAATTTGCTCTAGACAGTCAGCATTTGATAAATCAGAAGATTATTATCCCTCAGTACTGCACCCAGTCTCAGGAAATATTTACAACGTGGTGAGAAAGGGTCAGTTGTACCTGCTTTATAATTCTATGAAGTACTCATACTTACAAATACTCGGAACTAGTTAAAGACTCTCCCATGATAACCTGGCAAAAGAAAACGAGTAGCCTAATTTGCAAAGGTCTCCTTGGATTTTGGTGTGTGTGCTACATCCATGATCAAACTCAAACACTCTTAGGGTGGGCTGGATAAGTTTTTGGTAGCCTGCTTCATCATCAGAAGTTTGGTAATAAGCCTTACCACTAGAATACCACTTCTTCAGCATCAATCATTTCTCAATCAGTTAATAGATCAATGATTTCATCATGAATGAGAAGGGAGCATCACCTGGTGCGAGAATTGAAGAAAATTCCTCTCATGCCAAACAGGAACTAAAATGGGTCAATGTAGGGCAAAAGAAGGTAGAAAGTCAGCAGTTGCAGGATCACTGTTCAGTGTAGACACATCTGAAGAACTCGTAGTGGAGGTTCCTATTCAGATGGAGCAGTCTGCACTGGTAAGAGAACCTGAAGAATGCCAGACTTCCTCTTTTTATGATATGGACAAAGGCTGAGACTGCACAGCAAAAACACACACCTGAGAGAGCGAGTTTCCATCTGAGAAACTCATCTTTCAGAGCCTTGTCAAGGTGACAACAAATCCCTCTGTATGGCCAGCCAGGGGGAGCATGAGGTTGGTGGGAGTAAGCAGTTTCTCTGTGCCATGAAGCATGCACACCTCCATCTAGATGTGCCTACAATCTATGAGGTTCGTGCTTTGTTGAATAATGAAATTCTTTGGTCCTTGGTTTCATGAAAGGCAATATTCACAATCCTGTCAACATGGACATCAGCAAATGACTTCAAGCTGGGACTAATGGCACAGGGACAAATTAAATACTAGATGGAAAACTCTATACTCTTCAAACTTCCCAAAATCGCTTTAATGAGCTCCAGCATCAGGCCAGGTGTTGGGCCAACGAGGCATAGTCAACCCATGGAAATGCCAGAGCTGAAGCTTAAAACGAGAGGTCAGTTTTTCTGACGGCCACATACACTGCAAATAGTTGAAGCAAACTCTATCCCAATGGTAGATAAGTTGACTTTACGAACATTTACTGAAGATGAACCAAATAACTTGACTTTATTTGTACTGTAGCCCTGGTCTCAAAAGCCTTGGTAAGGAGAATTGGTTGGTAACTATGGAAGTGTGACCAACTGAAAGGAATAATAATTAAAAAAAAAAAAATTAAGTCTAAATTTTAGTTGGTTTTATTAGATCTCAGACAATGGGATGTGCCACCAATGTGCTCTATGACTTATGCTCCATTAAAACAGGCCTGGGTGGACTGACTCAGCTGATGTGTACATTCTGCATCTAGTTTACCTCTGCCCTGCTAAACTCGGGCTCCTTATGGCTTAACACACATAGTTCACTGATAAGACAGTCAGGACACGTGGAAATGCTGATTATGTAACTGAAATCGACTTCAGATTGTCTACACAGTAAGACTCACATGTAAACTTTATTAACATCTCTCAAGGAATGCTGACCTCAGCCAAGCTGGGCATTCCCAAGTCGCCCACAAAAAACCTGGGGTCAATCGCCAAGGTCAGGAGCAGGAAATGCCATTTGCTCAGGACAAATGATGGACCAGCAGCCCTCCCTGTGACCGTGTCTAAACCATGTGAATAGTATAAAGGTGGCTCTGGAAAACCTGTCGTCCTTGGTCCATTTCTATGGCCGGAGACAATCACCAAGGTGCCTATCTGGCCCCTGCCGCCATCATCACAACCAAACTCTTCGGATTAGCCATGACTTACAGACGGCATAGAGTCCATCAACATGGCTTATGCTGCTTGGAAGAAACAACCCGTATTACCTTTTTTTTTTGCAACAAGCTTAAGGCTCTGTTCACAAACTCCATCAACTGCCACACAGTGAGAATTTATGGGGAGATCTTAAACTACACATGTAGTTGCAAAGGTTGGAAAATTTACTGATCCTAATGGTAAGGCTTATTCATAGATTCAATACATTTTCAAATTATACTTCAAGAAAAAAAATTAACCTGCTCTCTAACAACATAAGAGCATTAGAGTCTAATGGGGGGGAAAAAAAAACATTGGCACCGAACCAGTATGCAATTTTTTGAAAGGACAAGTGATATTAATGGAAAAGATTGCCTAAAACGCATATCCTAACTTACCACAGAAATATAAAAGTTTATATTCTGAAAATATATACTGTATTAAAGTCTGTAAGCATTTCAACCAAAATTTGCAGAAATAACTAAGCAACACTTATCTACAACAAAAATATACATGCAAGACAACCCCCAAATGGTTTCTCTTAAATATCTACAAAGGCAAAGTGTAGGTTTGTAAAGATTATACAAAACCATTTACAGAGAATAAAATAAAATACTTAAGAAATCTCATTTAGAGTCTTAAATACTGTGTATATTAGTGAGTCTAAACTAACATATACAACAGACCTAAGTATCTGAATACAGAAACACAGAAGAGAAACAATTCTGTATTTTAAATATTCACTTAGGAAGATTTGAAGATGTTTCTATTTGTTTCTTTGTTTAAAAAAATTTCCACAGAAACTAGATTGTAAAATTGCATGAATATGACAATTTCAAATTAAAAAAAGTTTACAAAATTTTTTAAACCAACAATTAATAATGGGAAATACAATTCAGCATTCAGTCAAGGCTATTTTAAAATGTGGATATTCAGAAATACAGTTGCATTGATCAAAGTCTATTGTGATTATTATTTTTCCATCCTCATACTAAACTTCATATGGATAAAACATTTTCATGCTTCAGAGAGAACATTTCCTAGTTTAACCTATCAAACAAAAATAACATTTTAAATCAATTCTCTACTACCTTCTCATAGTTATCCAATTTCACTAGGGTAATTTGTGATGGTTTTCACCCACAGACATTATTCCAGAGCCAGAAAGAACATGTGGGCACACCAGCATCAGTCTGCAGCTTCTGAATGGTAAGAAGCTCTGATCATCACCTTAGCCAAGTTTTACAAAATGTCCTCTTGGAATGAGGCTGTTAACTCAAATGCAAGTGTGACCAGCTGAATGGAATCACAATTTTTTAAAAAATTTAAGTCCGAAATCGAGTTGGTTCTGTCATATCCCAAACAGTGGGATGCAAATGCTGCACTACACAACACTGGATGCTAGTCACCAGCGGCTGGAGCAGAGAGGGAAGGAGAGTTCTGATGCATGGCTAATAGGATGGCAAGGTGTGGAATGCCTAGAAGGTTCCCTGATGAAAGAGGTACCTTGAACTTCCCACCCAGAGCTGTTTTTCCAACCCTACAGGTAATCCTGGGATAGAGCTGCCAAAATCAGGCATGATTCCTCAAAGACCTGCCCAGGCTTTGGGAAGTGACAGACACAGAGTGGGGTGGGTGAGACAGAGGTAGGGTGGGGTAGGAGCAAAGCAGGGCAGAGAATGAAGGAAGGATCCTATGGGGTCCTGAGAGGGTGCTGGGATAGAAGATAACAAGTGAAAGCCTGAGCCCTAAGAAAGCTATCAGGACAAACCCAGACACACGCCCAGGTCTGGCATTTTCCATTCCCGGTCCATGTGTGCTAAGTTCTGTGGATAAGGATCCTATGGGTAGAGAGAGGGTGCTGGGATAGAAGATAACAAGTGAAAGCCTGAGCCCTAAGAAAGCTATCAGGACAAACCCAGACACACGCCCAGGTCTGGCATTTTCCATTCCCGGTCCATGTGTGCTAAGTTCTGTGGATTTCCCGGTCCATGTGTGCTAAGTTCTGTGGATTTCGTCTGCACGTTATCAAAACAACTATCCAGAAAGTGAAAATTCAGAGATTCAGTCTACCCTGTAGTAAACGAATTTAATAACCAACTTTCGCCTGATTTGTGGAACATCCGTCCTAAACTGACTATATGGAAACAACCAAAAATCAGACCATACTTTAAAACCCCTCCTGTCATAACTAGAACCTACAAATGAACAACAGGAATTCCACCTTAGTGATGGTTTCACATTCCTACCTTAGCATCAGAGATCCTTGAAATGCTTAGAAGTCTGGATTTGTGATCTGCCCAAAGCTAAAATATTTCTGGTGCTTTCAGCAGAGAACAAAGATGGACATGATCGAAAAGACTTTCCAAACATTCTCCTCTATCTCCAACAAGAATCCTGACACTGCCTCCATGGTAAATGTATCTCCAGCAGGTAAACAGAAAGCAAGGGTCTCTTTCTCTAGAGCTCTTAGCAATGCTGAAGAGATTATCTATCACAACACGCAAGAACGAGGCTTGTCGAGGGGCTTGAAGAAGGCATACATTTGCTTTCTCAAAGGAAGAGACGAAACTCAAGTGGAAATGTGACAAACAGGCATTTGGGAGAAAGCAGGTGCTTCCCTAGAGTCATTCCCTATAGTCTAGGCCTGCAGTTCCTACAGGATCCCACACAGACAAAGTGGAGGGTACCTAGGACTTCAATTCCATCTTCCTCTGGCTGAATTCAGCCAAGGTGGTTGTCCCCTGCTGGCTCCGCATGGCCAAGATGGCACAGATGAAAAAAGGGAGGAGACAAGAAGCTTTTCTGTCCCTGACCCTCATGAAGTCATGGGGAAACTCAAAAGCAGAAAGATTTTGACAGATGGAACCAAGGTTGTCTTAAGAATCAAGAGTCCAGAGAAACTTCAGATTCACTGTCTAAAGGACCATGTCTCTAGTCATAGTGCAGACACTCCACGTGTTCTCTGAAAGACAAAGCTCAGAGCCACGAATCCTCTCTGTCTGGCCCACTTCTCTGAAATACAAAGCTCAGAGCCACGAATCCTCAGGTGCCTCTGGTCACCTGTAAGAGAGAAAAAGGGAGCAGAGAGAGATAGATAACGGTAACAATGACTTTCTTTTTCTCAGCCCTCCTCCCTTCCCCTGGCTGTGCCCAACTCTCACTGTTCTACTCAACTCTCTCCAAGCGAGGGACAAGAGAGGCTGGCGACTAACACAGGGAAGGAGAAGACGGGTGAGCAAAGGGCCTCTGAGGACATTCAGGGGCTGTGACGGGACAGGGAAAACCCTGCCCCTCTGAGAATCTAACTTCCTCTGAGTGCTTGACCCATAACAGGCTTAAGCCTCACACAGAACATGCCGCTGCCATTCCTCTGCTCTAACCTCAATGTTTACCTTCCTCCTCACCCACCAAAACCCAAGCCCCTCCTTCCCCACACTCACCCACAGACTTTGGGCTGACGGTCTAAATACAAATCCTGAGGTCCCCATGCATCCCAGAGGCTCTGGGGGCAGGAGACCTCATCCCTGGCTATTGCTCACTGATGAGAGCAAACAACAAGAAAAAAGATGGGTCGTCTGAGCTTCTGGACGCAAGAAGATTCAGTCCTTCTACTGACAGTTCGGCAGAGTGGGGGTGCGTCCCACCTTCCTGGAAAGCCAAACCAGACATCGCTGCCCACACCGAAGGGATGAACTCTGAAATCCAAGTTCAGTCATTCGCCCCCCAGAAAAAAGACTTACTCTAGGCAACATGCATTCCCCAAGTGGGGCCTATTCCTCACCCTTTCCTGATGTCACACAATTAGGGACTGGGTACACGTCTCAGTACCATTCAGGTCGGAGGCCCCTTTATATCCTTAAAGGCAGCAGAGTGAAGGGGAAGCTCCTCCACGATTTCTCTTAAGAACAAGTATTCAATTATTATAACTGAGAACTGTTTTATACACAGAGGATTTGGTACAGAGCTATTCCTTTTATCCATAGAAATCCTTACATTTTAACTCTCTGAATTTTTTTCTACATGGTTCATTGCTAGAATGCACCAAACAGCATGAACCTTGTATGGAATTTGGTCCAGGGCAATATGAAAATAATATCTGTATGAATGACAGATATCATAATATATAAACAAAAATAAATAAATTAAATAAGTCTGATTAAAGAAAAACATTTTCCTAGGAGTTCGTGTTTTTGTAAAACTAGCTTTACATATAATACACATAAATTATCAGAATTTCCACTTACATTGTTTTAAAAATATATATTTAACAAAACATTCCTAAATGTACAATATCTGGGTTTGCAAATCACTCAATTGGGTTTTAAGACCAAGCCCTAAAAGTCACACAGATATGCATCAGAGAGGAGACTGAGGCTAGCTCTGCACAATTGTTTTGCTCATTGGTCTGGAAATTCCCTTTGATGAACTGTCCCCCATCCCCAGATCTGCACTTAACCAATAGCTAAGTCTCCAAATCAGAGGCACTGTGTAGACACAGTCTGAGTCAGGAAAACGGGGGAAACTGGGTCTTCCCCTTCCGGGAGTGGGATGGTGCATTTCAGAAGGTGACAGTGGCTGACAGAGGCCTGGGAAGATACAGCCCTCAATAGCTCTCTAGTCAGTTGGGGTCGGGGCATGGCGGAGGCCAAGTAGGCTGCGTTTCCCATCTGTTACACAAAATCAAACCAATGAGGAGCAACCAAAGGACACGAGGACATGGACACAACCCTAGGTACAGAAACACCTTGACAAACTCCTTGGCAGGGCATACACTGGGCTCCGATTTCTGAAACACAGGGCAAAGCTGGAAGTCAAGTGCCCTGGATTACCAGGGCGAGTGGGCCGGGGCCCTTCAGACTTCATAAATTTTGTCCTGCAGGTAGCTGAACAGGGAATCCAGGCCTTTGGAGGAACTCCAGAGTTGCTTGAGCATGAGGCATTCTTTTTCATTCACATCTTCAAGCACCGATTTCAGGAAGCTCCGAACGAGGCATTTCGACTCCTCCAGCACCTGAAGGGAAACGTACAAGCCTCGTTAGCGGGCACCAGGGACTCCGCCAGAAGCCCGTACCTGGCCTCAGATGCACCCGTTAAGCTTCCGATATCCGAAGCCAGAGGAGGCTGCCGTCTGCAGTCCGGGGCTTCCCAGGCGCATGACCCACGCATGCCATGACGTCGGGCCCACAGTCCCTGTGATGGCTGAGTGGAGCCCATGTCACCCCCGACCGCAAGACCTTTCTTTTTTACCCGAGGGTGACATAAACCCAGTGTGACTTTCTATGGGTGTCATGAAAGAGTTTGGAAAACACTACTTTCACCTCCCTGTGCTTCGTTTTTGTGATCTGTGAAACGGGAATAGTGATGCCTAACTCATGGACGGCTAAGATCACCGAGTAAGATAATGAAATGAACTAATAGTTGTCAAAGTATCCATGTGACCCACCCCAACGGCAATGCCCCTCTTCAGGCTTAGTAGCAAGAGAAATAGTAATATTAGCAGTAATCATTATAATAATGAGTAATAACAATCGCAATAATTGTAGTAATGAGTTAGTAATATTGAGAATAACAATAGTAATGATACCATAATATAGTAGTAACAACGGTAGTAATGTTAGTAATATAGTAGTAATAATAGTAACACTATAGTATTAGAGCAGTAATATTAGTAATATTAGCAGTGGTAATAATAGTAATAATACTAATGAATAATAACAATAATAGTGATGATCATAGTGATATAACAATGCCACTACAATCACCATTAACCAATAGGGTCTATGAGAAGTACTCTTCCTGCATTCTTTCATTTCTTGCTCATGACGGTTCCACAAACAGGTATCTCCACATTACAGGTGAAGGGCCTATGCTCGATAAAGCACAGCCGCCCAGAGCTGCCTGATGGACGAGGCCTGCAAACATCTGGCTGATTCCGACAGGCCACGCCGTGCGTCACTCTGGCGGAGGCTCTGCCAGGAAGTGTGGCATCCAAGCATCCGCCCACTGTCTCCGTCATCCTCTGCTGACGTCGAGACTTCAGTTCACACTCTCCTAAAGAGCTTTCGAATAGAAAAAAAAGACGAGAGCTCCCTTGCTTGAGTGGGCTGGAAGGGGGCTATGATCTTATTCTTCGGCTTGGGCTGGCAGACCAGGACTGCCTCCATCCTCCCAAGGACTCCTCTGAAGAACACCATCTCCCAAGGGTCATTGGGTAGATTCCTTTCTTGGGCAAGTCGACCCAGAGCTCTTGAATTCATAACTGCTGATAGGAGAGATTTCCTTGCAGCATTTCTTCAACAGCTGGCTTCACCTGAGTATCTCTGTTGGCCAAGGACCAAACTCCTCAATGCAGCTTTGAGAACTTTCTCCTACCCTCCTTTTCAGTCTGTTGTCCCCATACATCCCCTGCTCACACCACCGTAAGTCGCTGCCTAAACTCCATGTGGGTTTTCAGACTCACATGCCCTCACTCATGATGTTTCCTCTTCTTAGAATTTCTACCTTCTTCTCCAAATTGGAACAGAAGTAAAACTGTCACTACTTGCAGATGACATGATACTATATATAGAAAACCCTAAAGACTCTACAAAAAAGCTATTAGAATTAATAAATTAATTCGCTAAAGTTGCAGGATATAAAATTAATATTCAGAAATCTGTTGCATTTCTATATATTAATAATGACCTATCAGAAGGAAAAATTGAGAAAACAACCTTATTTATAATTGTATCAAAAGAATAAAATACTTAAGAATAAAATTAACCAAAGAGGTGAAAGACTTATACTCTGAAAACTATAAGACATTGATGAAATAAATACAAGATGACTCAAATAAATGGAAGAATATTCCATGCTCATGGAATGGAAGGGTTAATGTTGTTAAAATGTCCATACTACCTAAAGTAATCTACAGATTTAATACATTTCCCATCAAAATACCAATGACATTTTTCACAGAACTATAACAAAAAAAATCCTATAATTTATATGGAACCACAAAAGACCCCAAGTAGCCACAGTAATCTTGAGAAAGAATACAGTTAGAAGTATCACAACACCTGGTTTCAAATTATATTACAAAGCAATATCATCAAAACAGTATGGTATTGGCACAAAACCAGACAAATAGATCAATGAAACAGAACAGAGAGCCCAGAAATAAACCCATGCTTATATGGTCGATCCATGACAAGGGAAGCAAGAATATACAATGGGAAAATGACAGCATCTTCAATAAATGGTGTTGGGAAAACTGGATAGATACATGCAAAAAAAAAAAAAGAATCTGGACCACTTTCTTATACCATATAAAAAAACAAACTCAAAGTGAATTAAAGACTCAAATGTAAGATCTGAAACCATAAAACTCCTAAAAGAAAATATAGACAGGAAACTCTGACATCAGTCTTAAAGATTTTTTTTTCGGCTATGTCTTCCCAGGCCAGGGCAACAATAGCAAAAATAAACAAATGGGACTACATCAAACTAAAAAAGTTTTGCACAGCAAAGGAAACCATCAACAAAATGAGAATATGACCTCCTGAATAGGAAAATGTATTTGTCAATGATACATCCGATAAGAGGTTAATATCCAAAATATATAAGGAACTCCCACAGCTTAACATTAAAAGTAAATAAATAAACAATTAAAAAAATGGGCGGAGGACCTGAATAGACATTTCTCCAAGAAGGACACAGATGGCCAACAGACATATGAAATATCAAATATCAATAATCATCAGGGAAATATAAATCAAAACTACAATGAGATATCACTTCACACCTGTCAAAATGGCATTATCAAAAAGTCTGCAAATAACAAGCAGCGGTGAGGATGTGTAGAAGAGCAAACCCTCGTGCATTGCTGGTGGGAGTATGAAATGGTGTGGCCGCTGTGGAAAGCGGTATGGAGGTTCTTCAGAAAATTAAATACAGAACTACCATATGACCCAGCAATTCCACTTCTGGGCATTTATCTAAAGAAAAAGAAAACTCTAATTAAAAAATATATGTGCACCCCTATGTTCACTGTAGCATTATTTACAATAACCAAGAAAGCAACTTAGGTGTCCACTGATAAATGGATAAAGTAGATGTGGTTATATATGTACACACACACACACACACACACACACACACACACACAATGGAATATTACTCAGCAATAAAACAAATAATGAAATCTTGCCATTTGTGACAATGTGAATGGACCTAGAGGGCATTATGCTAAGTGCCTTAGTCAGACAAAGACAAATACTGTATGATTTCACTTATATGTGGAATCTTAAAAAAAAAAAACAAAAACTAACAAAATGAAACAGAAACAGACTTGGATACAGATAAAAAACTGATGGGTGCCAGAGGGGAAGGGGTTAGGGGGACAGGGGAAAAAGGCAAAGGGGAATAAGAGGTACAAACTTCCAGTTATAAAATAAGTCATGTGGATGTCATGTACAGCACAGGGAATACAGTCAATAATATCGTGATAACTGCATGGTGACAGATGGTTCCTGGACATATCCTGGTGACCACATCATAAGGTATATAATTGTAGACTATGATGTATACCTGAAGCTATTATAATATCGTATGCCAATCATACATTAATAAAAAAATACTTTAAAAAATTTCTACCCACCTCTCTGTGCAGCTGACTCTAGGGTCATCAGCCATCCCTGTTTGCCTAGGACCATGGGGTTTCCTGCTAAAACCAGGAAAGTTCCAGGCAAAGTGGGATGAGTAAGTCACCACAGTCATCAGGAAGATTAAAACAGACTTCAAATCAAGAGACTTGCAAAGTGCCTGGCCCATAATAAGTTCGTCAGTGATGTTGGACCACCAGCACCCCGCCATCATCACTGGCACTGCAGGCTTCCAGGGAGCAGAGCTCACATACAGGAGGTGCCCAATAAAGGCTAACGAGGCAAATCAAGAGAGGCATGACAGCTGGGTGGGGGTTCAGGGTAGACGGGGAGAAGGAAGGGAGGGCCGTGAGTCTGGCCCCATAAATCCACAACAGACAGAGCCCGTCAGCTCTATTCTCCCGAAGCACCTTCCTCATTTCCTGAGCAGGCCCTGGGGTTCCAGGAGGGGCCTTCTCTCCACCTTTCAACAGGATATTTCCATACTCTGCTCAGAGTGACTTAAGAGATAAAATCGACACTTAATTAAAAATGGGCACCTCTGTGGAGGTGTTATTTATTTATCTATTTTTCAATGTGTCCTCAGAGTCAAACGGTGATGTTTAAGAGTGCCAAGAGCTCGGTGGGCAGGAGAACTGAAATACAAGGACAGTGTGGACTGTTTCCTCTTATCTCTTGGCTGGTTGAATACGCTTTGTCCTATTTGCCTTTGCTTCTTGTTTCTTCGAAAATTACAGATGTTTTGTGTGTTTGGGGTGTTTAAGACTTTCTCTTAGAGCAATGCACTCCATCCCAGAGTTTAAATCTCTTCTGGGAAGCTTTTCAAACTGGAAATGATGGGGAATGTCTAATAATGCTGACCATCTCCCTTAGATTTAAGTTCTCAACACACAGATGAGGCATCTGTTAAATTACACAGGGCCTTTCATGTACTTCCTGCACGACCTTTGGCAACTTAACTAGTCCCTTTCAGCCTCATTGAGGATGAGGATCTTTAAAGTGGGTCTATTGCAATGACAAGCACACAAAGACAGAGGAACTCACCACCGCACTGCAGGACGCCATCTCCTTGACCCGCAACATGACTTCCTGGCTGAACGTGGTTGGCCAGAAAACCTGGGACACGAGTCCTCTGCTGCATGCTTCCTGGGCGGTGAGCTTCCGCCCACAGAAGAGCATCTCGTTGGCCTGAAAAAGCAAAGGCAGGGGTAGGCTGAGAGCCCAGAGCACCTCCCACATCTGTTAGTGAGGCCTGGGCTTGCCACGTGCAAGCCCAGCACATGGCAAGCCCAGGCCTCACTAACAGCTCTCGAAGGCAGGATGCTTAACCAGGGTCCGATAAACTTTGGGAACTACAAGTAAACGTTTGTGTCTATGTGCCTCTCTCTGAGCAGAGGGTCTCCAGCTTTCATTAAGTTCTCAAAAGCAACCATGTACCTACAGTGGCTTCGTCTGCCAACACCTCTCCCCACGTCTGGCGACAGACCCACGGGAGTGTGCGCACGCCTCGGGCTGGGTACACTTCCGTGCTGATCCCCTGGCCCTGACAACTGGCCTGGGGATAAGAGATGATCTACCCTAGATCATTCCGAGCTGGAGATGTGGGGAAGACTCTTTCTCCCTCTCGAGTTGGAGGCTAAAGTCGATGAGTCCAGGGCCACTCACTGCTGTGTCCCTGCTCTGTGCAGGGTCAGGTCCACAGAGAAAGGAGGAGTGGAAAATGAAAGTACTGATGGTACTTGAATTCCTGGACCTGTCGCCCCCAAGTGATAGTCTACTTCCGAGCTTGCCAGCTATGGAAATCAGTCTTGAATTTTCCCCCTCCTTAAGCCAGTTAAAGTGTTTCCATCACTGGTAGCCAGAAAGACCTTGAGTAATACCATAATGCCAAACCAGGGGAACGTCTCTCATGGTGGCCCAGGGCTGGGCACAGGGACTGCCCAGTCTTGAAGGGTGGAAAGCCACCCCCGCTTCCAAGGGCTACTCTGTACCGCACTCCGCAAAGAGCTTCCTTTTGCTTTGAAGCTCACAGCTGCCTTACATGGTTGGGAGGAGCTGCATGGAAAAGGTCCTGGGCAAAGACAGAGCACAGTGCAGTCACTGCTGAAACTTAGCAACAGGTGACTCTCGCACTGGTAATTAGGCGTAATGGTCACAGCCATGTGACAGGATCCTTACCTCCTTCCTTCAGGATGAATCCCTACCTCCTTCAGGATGAATCGCTACCTTCCTTCACAGGGCAGAGAGCCCCTTCCCTAACCTGCCATCCACCTGCCTCCCCGACTCTTCCTTCCCGCCCCATCTGCTCAGCCGCTCTTGGATCGATGTTGAAATGCCAGGCTCTCTTAGCCTCTGCATTCACGCAGCGCTTCCCACTTAGTTCTGGTTGTCACTGATGGGTCATGATGACCCAAAGGACAACTTCTCAGGCCATAGTGGAAGCATTTATCAGGTTGGTAATAAGCTCATGACATGCATTGGTTAGAGGATGGAAGACAAATATATGACATTGTACTTATTTAGAAACATCTCTGTCTCAGGAAGGAGAAATGAAAGGGAGGAACTCAGTAGAAGGAGCCAAACAGGATGCAATCAGCAAGAAGAACATGTCTCAATCAGCAACATTCTTGGAGTTTCAGAAATGATTGAAATTAAAGGAAGAAAGAGATAAGACTGTATGTACAATGTTAACATTTTTGTGAACACACAGGATGGGGAGGAACTGGAGTGGCACTGATTTGGGGCGGAACGCAGCGGCTGAGATCAAACGGCAGTGTTTGCTTCCCGGGTTCCCTGCCTGCCTCATTTTTCTGCTACTGGTGAGCAGCCTAAAGGAGCTCCGAGTAAGATGATGAATCCGAATGGTCTTTCCCACCTGTAGGCCCTGCTGCATAGACCACGTGCTGCCAGGGGGGTTGGGGGCTGAGGAAATGATCTGTGTTGGTCTCTTAGTTACTATTCCTGTTTCGTGCTATCACCAGAGAGAGAGGCAGCCCACACAGAAAGGATGGGATGGGGGCTCCCGTCCTTCCAGACTCATCTGGGCAGTGCCGCTGGTGGGAGCCTCTTCTAACCGCCCCACTGTGGGGTTTGGCCCTGTTGTCTGGAGTCATGATTCTTTGGCAGTTTTCTTGGGACTCCCAGGACCCCTAGTGTCTGCAGGCTGAATGCTCCCAGCAATCCAAGGGAGCTGCTAACCAACAATCCTGAGGAGACCTTGGTGAAGACGGCACCACATCAAAGCGACATCAAAATGCCACCTCGCAGACCTACTAGACCAACCGCACTTGCTGAACCCCTCTCGCATCCTGGGGGTTTTCATCTCAGTCTCACTCCTCAGGGGCAGGGTCTGCTTTGTAGTATTCTAGTTAAGAGCGCAGACTCTGTGTTCCTAAGCCACAACTGTCATTACCACTGTGTGACCCTGGACAATTCACTCAACCTCTCTGATTCTCAATATTCCTATCTGTCTAGTGGGGATAACAACTATTCTACCTTACAGGGTCGTGTGAGGACAGACTGAGTTAACGGCTGTCAAGCACTGGCCCTACTGAGTGTTCTCTAAGCGTCAGCTGTTAGTATGACTCACTCCTGCACAGACTTGCTTCTGGCTGCTGGTGCAGAACGTGACTACAGCCTACAGGGGACTCCATGGCCTTGCCTGAACACTGCTCTGCCTGCTTACGGGGAGGCTTACCAGCGCGACGCCCAGGATCTGGGGGAAGGTGTAGGAGGAGCAGCCGGCGGGTGTGAGGCGGATGGTGGCATAAGGGGTCTGAAACCAGGCCTTCTCGCTGGCCCACACGATGTCGCAGAGGGGCAGGATCGAGGCGCCCAGGCCCAGGGCAGGGCCGTTGATCGCCACCACGATGGGCTTCTTAAACTGGATAAAGGCCTTCACAAAGTCCCTGGGTGGAAAGAGAAGACCCTCTTTAACAGGTGACCAGGCTTGCCGAGACCACTGGACACCCTTGATTCTCCCCAGGCTGAATAAGCTTCCCCAGGTACTGTGAAGCAGGCTGTCAGATGGGGTGGGTGCCAGGCAAGGGTCCCATTCTCCCAGATGCTGAGCCACTGAGCTGCAGTCACAGGCCTGGGACACTCAGGGGTTGGTGCCAGATTTTCAGAGAGGACTTGATGGGGTGACATGTTGGAGTCTGCCCAGATGGCCTCAGGTCATGCCCACTGAGCCAGCCCTGCAAGGGTTACCCTGTCTGTCCTTCCATACCTTAGATATTGACAAACTGTAAATATCCTAATGAAGACAACCTGAATGTTAAGGTTCAGAACCAAAACCAGAACTAGAACCAAAAAGAGGTGTTACAAAGAGGTATAACTAAACTAAAGGAAAGAAGGAATGTTCCAACGGCACTGGCTGAGGGTGGAGTGGTGAATTCATCATTGTTGGAGGCATTCCAATTTTGGCTGGATGATCACTTTGCGTGATGTTGTAGAGGGAATTGAAGCTACAGATGGTGGATATGAATGAAGATTGATGACATTTAAGATTTCTTTCAATAGCAGGAACGGATGATTCTGAATTACGTAAAGAATGCCAGATTCTTTCAGGCTGGCTTTGACCAAAATTGAGGAAAGATGCTGTGTTGCCCTGGAGGCATCTGAAATCATGGCTACAGGATTAGGCAATATTTTACCTCCCTGACCTGCTGTACTGAGCAAGGTTATAGCCTGTATCTTTATCTATTAAGCGGACCCTCCTACAAGAACCTCTACTTCCTGTGCCTTAGAATTCTTTTTGCCTTCTACCCCTAGTTGCTATGTCAGAGCTATAAAATTTTAATATTCATCTGGACATGGAGGAAAGATCTAAGATGTCCAGTGAAGCCTGCATCCTTCCTTATTCTCAGGTGGCAGATTGGAAACTACCAAGAACTCACAAGCATAAAATCCAGACTCCCAAACATGACCTTGGGCTGCCTCTGCTTACGTCTCCAGGCTTATCTCGTGTCTCTTACACTCCTGCTCACTGTGCATGAGCTGCACGGGCCTTCTGAGAGTTCTTGGAAAACACCATTATCACAATTTGCAATTATCCTAATTATCTGCTTACTTACTTGTTTTTGAGTTCTCCTCCCCTTCAGCTTCTTAAGAAAACCCACAGGTCTGCCTTGTGCACTGCAGAATGAGACCTTTGCATACATGTTGTCTCCATACACGCTGGAATTAACACTCAGTAAATAGCTATTGAATAGTAAAGGATTCCCCCAAGACAAGAGCAAAGACTGCAGATGTGTAGCAGTGACGCACGAGCTCTTCACCAGACCTGATGTCCTTCCCTCTTCTACCCGAGTCCACTGATATCTTTCCCTCTTCTACCTGCGTCCACTGCTAGAACGCATTTCCCAGCTTCCCCTGAAGTTGGCCGTGGCCTAGTAACCAAGAGCCGGCCAATGGAATGTGAGTGGAAACCACACATACACTTTCACGCCCCGTGCATGGAAACCTCCCGCCATGCAGTACACTGAGTGCTTTCATCCTGAAAGTGTGGCAGTCTCGGAAAACGTTTGTTGAGCCACAAGATGGACAGAATCCGGCTCCTGGGTTGCCACTTGTAGGACTGCCACAGGCTAATCTGTAGCATCTGTTTTAGGTTCACAAATTCGAGAAGTAAATTTCTATCACAATTGAACCATTAGGTATATATATATTTGGGGTTTATTTGTTACAGCAGCTTGAGGCGGCACATTTCCTGACTCCCATGTGAGTAGATGACAGTTATCCCAGCCACTGCTGGCCCCCATTGAAGCTGACCCAAAAAAGGACAATGCTACAGCGAGCGAGTGCTGGCTCCATGGCTCTCTGATTCTTGGTTTTCCAGCGGCCCATTTCCTGGCTTAACTTCTTAACCTCGTGGCTTCAGTCATTGGTTATAATGAGTGCGTTTTACCAAATGCATTTGGAGTCTGCAGAAAATATGGGGCTTCTTTGCAGGGTCTTTGGAACCACAGGCTTTGGGTGACTTTTGACAGACATTCCATCCCTAAAGACCCTCATACAATTCTAGGATTTTGGATCTCAGCTTGAGAAGGACTTCAAGAGTCATCAAACCAAATCTTCCACTTGGTGCAGCATCCTGTGGATGCACCATCTGGCCTCTGTTGAACATTTTCAAAAAAGAGGGTCTGTCCCCATCAAGATGCCTTCCTGCTGTGACCTCGTGTGGGCCTCTCTGAGACTCCCATTCTCTCTGCTCCATCATCCACACGACACTCCTTCAGGAATTCACTTCAGCCCTCACGACCTTCCAGAAGCTTCCCCTTCCATTCCCCCAGAAACTTTCACTCTGTGGTTTCCAACCTGAGCTCTGTGCAGTGGCAACAAGGACCCCCAAGGAGGACTAAGGAGACCAGGTGTACACAGCCCAGACCCTCCATCCACACTACCCCCTCCTGTCAGTCCAAGCATTTCATTTCCTTGATATAAAAATGTAACGTGCAAACCATCTCCCCATCCTTTTTCTCTCACCTCAAGCAGAAGATTTGTATCGCAAGGGCCCAGTGGATGGAGAAGGCAGATAGCAAACAGGATATTGCATTACAAATGCTGCTGCTCAGATATCTGATCCTAACTCAACAGCAGGGCTGTGCTGGGGAAATGGCTTGCCGTCTTCCCCAGCAGCCAAGTCCATCTCACTCACCCTGGACCTTGCAGCTTCCTCTGCTCAACCTGAGCTCTATGGCTTCTACCTGCCCGAGCTGCTAAGCTGTTCTAATGTGGCAGAAGGAGCAGGAACTTTGGGGTTTGAAAGACGGAGTCATCTCAACTCTGCCCCTAACTAGGGGTGAGATCTTAGACAAGTTATCCCACCCCTACAGCCTCATTTTCCTCCTTAGAAAATGGGAAAGCCAATGGTGGGTCCCCATAGGCCGTATGAGAATTACATAGGACCCCAGCACAGGGCCTGGCATGTGGGGAGCCCCAAATGGCTGCTGCTATTACAGGCGGCGCATCTGCTGGGGAGGGCAGACACAGCTTCCATTCCACTCTCAGTGGTCTGTGAGCCACTCTCCTGGCCTAAAGGAGACTCAGGAGCAAAATTCTGCAAACAGGGATGTTTGGATTTCACCTGGAGCAACTGGTATCTCTTTTGTGACCCAGCTATTCATTCATTTTAATCAAAGCCACGGGGTACAGCCTCCCACTGCCAAAGTTCAGAGCCAAGTCAGCTGGAGTATGATGAGCACCAGATACACACAGTGATGGTGACAGTCATCCTAGAGCCCCCAGAGGGGTGCTCTACGAGCCCACCCCAGAGTCAGACCCAGGCCTAGCTAGAACTTCTGGCTGGGGGTAACAGTAGTAATATGAAAATAATTTTTTATACCTAGTCTACTTATTATGTGCAAAGAACAGGCTGAGTATTTCACGTGGATTATCTGATTACCCTTGGTCCTAGCAACCTGCCAGCAGGCCATCACATCACCTGAGAGGTCAGGTGAGGGCTGCCTCTCTTCCAGGATAGGGCAGACAGCTTTGTTTGAGCCCTGGAGAGAGGCTTCTGTTGAATGAATCATCCAAGCTCTTCCCACATCTGCTAGTTCATTCAATGAACATCTGCAGAGCGAACACGGCGTGCCAGGTCTTTTGTGCACATGTTTTCTTTAGGAACCGGGGAGAGTCGGGTGAGTGCACTGTTGTGGGTGCTGCGGATGTGTGGCATGCCCGGATCCTGGAGGTCAGCCCAGCCGAGAGCATGCGTATCCCAAAAGAACTGCAAGGGATATCAGTAGGTTATCAGGTTCTATGGCCAAAATATGTTTCAACCATGCTCGATTTTGAACAAAAGTCTGTCGCAGGAGACTCCTCAGACTGTAACTATGTCAACATGCCTGGAAAATCTGCACGAGCCAGGACAGAACTTGCAATGTGACCCAAATCCATTGATCGAAAGTGCCCTACTCACAGTGCTTCTCCGGAAATCTGCAGAACATTTTCTGGGAAATGCTTCTCTGCCACTTCGTGTCCCAAACTCTGGAGTGCAGCTGCAGACTCTGGAGGGTGCGCTCCACAGTTGGTGGAGCTGGGGCCTCCCTATAGGTGTCTGGTGGTGATGAGCAAGCCACGGTCATTTCAGAAAGTGCACCCATGGGTGCTCTTCTCTACAAGGCCATATTGTCTGCACCCTGTCCATCCTTTTTTGACGTTCCTCGCCCTCCGTCACTCCTTCTATCACCTTCTCTTTCACCCTCTTCGCTTATAACCATCTTTCTTCTCTTGCATAAAAAAGTGAGGCTCTTTTTATTTCTGTAACTTTTAGTGCTTTTGATGGTAGAGAAACCTCTTGGTTAGGATGGCGCAGGGCTTCTCAGTCCTGGCTGCACATTAGAACCACTGAGGAAACTTTAAAACCGAAGGTGTGCTGGCCGCACCCCACATTTATTAATCAGGATCTCCAGGGGGTGCTGCCAAGCTGCTGGGTTTTGAAAAGCTCACTGGGGAGTCTTTGTGCTGTCGGGGCTGAAAACCAGTGGTCTAGGGGACATCCCCGTTCCCTCTCCCCTTGTCCCGGCAGCTCATGCATTAGGAACTTCTGCTCCCTCTGAAGCATCAGGAAGAACTCCCTCGGCCATCTCTCCCTCCGCGTTGCCTAAAGAGAACTCGCCTTCCTGATGAGACGGCAAATGTCTGAATTCCAGTGACCGCTTTTCTCCCAAAGTGACCTAATACGTTCAGCATCCCCTCAAGTTTGGGATTTCTGGAAATCCAGCTAAAGCCTCCACAGAAATTTGTAAACCAGCGGCAGGTTACGGCCAAGGTATTCCTCAGGCTGCAGAGATGGGCGCCCCATCTCCGATGGTCCCATAAGTGAGGAGGAAAGCTTACTGGGGACTCCACGTGACAAAGCAGCTGCCAAAAGACACAGCTGAGTCTGCGCAGAGAGCAAACCACCATGCACGTGGCCAGAGCTGTCTGCACCCAGGGAGCCTGAGGGCAGCACGAAAGCATGTTGCCTTTTCTCACAGCAGTGCTGAGGCTTTTCACACCTCTTGTGCAAGAGTTCTGCCACAGGAAGCACACAAGTGTTTTGGAGCAGAGACTCCAATGGATGCTTCACCCTGAATTGAGACTCAACCCCACATGTGACGGCGTCGTTGTATCATCTCTGCACCCCCTGGAAGCTTCCCACAGCCACGTGGGAATGAGCCTCTGTGTGACGACGTCACAGCACAGTGAGACTGGAGGCTCCAGGAAAGCCCTGCCCTGTGGCCCTGGGCTCTGGGACAGCCCGTGAAATAAGTGTTTCTTCTCAAGAGACACTTGATCGGCAACACTCGGATTGGCATCACTGATCCGAGACTCTTGTCTGAGCACGGAGCAAGGTGCAGAAGCGAGTGCATATGCCCTTCCCAGGGGGGAGGACAAGGGACAGCCCTTGCTGGAAACCACACTCGCTTGCTTTTGATAAATCGATACGAATGGGGAAAAAACTACCCTTCAGTGTCTCCAAAGAGATACTGATTGTTGGGATCAAATGTCACACCCGGGATCCCAATTTTTGCCCCCAAAAAATGAGAAGGGAAAACACGTTCAAACCCTGTTGCGTCTGCAAATGCACAGCGGCCCAGGGGACCCCTCCATTCTCCTTCCTGATGATGAGTATGTCAGCTCCAAAATGCAGGGATGCTCAGAAAATCAAAGATTTCACCACAAGCCAGAGGCTGGGAGTAATGCAGCTAACACATGGGCATTACCGGACACTGGGCTTAATATAAGGAAATAAAATCTCTTTTTCATCAAAAGAACAAAGTGAGATCTAACCTAGAGAGCGAAGACATCCCTTATTGAGGCAGGAAAATACAGGACACTCAATTAAAATCCTAATTTTAGATAAACAACAAATCACTTTTCAGTGTAAGTATACCCCAAATATTACATGGAATATACTTCTGCTAAAAAACACAACAAACAAACAAACAAACAAAAACTTTGTTGTTTGAAGAACTTAACTGAGCTGCATGTATTTTTATGTGCTCAATTTGGCAAACGTAGGCAGGTCCCCAAGTCCAAACACAAGCCGAGCTCACCTGATGGCTTCTGCAATGCGGGTGCTCTCCTTTCGCCGGTCACTGGACAACCGGCCAATTAGGTAGGAGTAATCCAGGCCGCTGCAGAACACGCTGCCCACCGCACTGAGGAGCAGCAGTTTGCTGTCGTCTGTGGCCGCGTTGCACAGCGCTCTCCGGACCTCCTTCATGATCTGCAAGCGGAGCAGGATTTGCAGGGATGTTAAGTGTTTTCTGGAAGAAACACTTATTCCTGATTCAAGCCTGCCAAGGCCTCGCCCCTGAATGTCGACCATGAACGTAGAGGGAAGTATACCTGCTCTGCCTGTGCAGGGAGCCTTCCCTGAACACAAGCCACATCCAGACCTTGGAAAGGAACACCAAAACCAGAGCTCACCTACACCCTCCCCAAAGCAGGCACAGACGGTTAAGAAGATGGCACTGAGGTCACTGGCTGCAAACTTGGGAGCTTGGCTGGGAGTCCTTTAATCCCTGGTAAACTTCTGCAAATCTTTTTCCAGAATTTGCTTGTTTAGCCCTTTTCAAGGTGTGGGAAAAATTCCTGTGCACACCCCAAGTAAGGCACGTGAGCCATCTCTAGAAGTCCAGTTGATTATACTCTTACTCATCCTTAATTCAACTAAGACCCTCGCACAGCTTGTAGGTAGCACACGGGAAGTGGGCTTTGGCATCAGACCCATAAAAGGTTCAAGGTGCCAAAGAAAACAACCGTCAAACACAAATTCTCTATCCAGCTAAACTATCATTCAAAAGCAAGGGTAAAAATTAGGCATTTTTAGTAAAAGAATGTTTACTATTCTTAGACCTTCACTGAAAAAAAAAACTAAAAAAGGATTCACTTCAAGGAGAAAAAAACAATATTCAGAAAGAAAAATTGGCATCTAAGGAATGACAGCCAGCAAGGAAACTAGTGAATGTATTGATAAATCAATATAAGAACTGACTATAAAAATCATCATACCAATCATACCGATGGCTAATCGAGAGTGGGAGGTTGCACAAGGTGGAATTATGGTCCTAGGCAATAATATTGTGTCAGATGAGAGGACAGATGACTAGAGAAAAGCATGCCTAGGTTATATGTCTGAGAGTGGTGATGAGGTAATAATTACATTTAGGTTTCGCTATGTGTACATAACTTAAGGATAACTTCTTAAAAGTACATCGTGAATTATAATGAAGGGGGGAGCACGAAATAAAGAAAGCTCAATGACCCAATCCAACAGAAGTTAGGCAAAAAACAGAAATCAGCACAGGAAGTATCTGGTAAGAGAAAACAAGGCATGCACTAGCCTGGGTGCAGCTGAGAGTCCACTGGGGGAGACATTAAGTGAATAGGCTTTTAAAGGATCATTATTAATTATTCAATAGGCATAATCATAGGATATAGTGTAGAAATATTATGAGTATTTTTTAATGTACTTTTAAAAAACCACCCCCCGCCCCCACTTATTAAGCACTTAGAGGTACCAGAGATTGCACCAGATAATTTCCACATAATACTTTATTCCAAATGAAAATCTTGAAAGATACGGGAATGATATCCCAATTTTGCAGGTGAATCAAGGAACACTCAAAGAAGTAGTAAGCTGCCCAAGGTCACCAGTAACAAGCAGAACCATGATGCAAATCTCACCCCAATATCTCTTCAATTTCTACTATTCCATTCTGCAGGATGACTTAGATAAATGGATGAATTTAAGCAGAAAAATCATCCATCTAAATCAAGAATCTCCCAGCCTGTGCTCTGTGAGAACGGGAGAAGCACTTTCTACTCTAACAGGGTATAAACCACAGGTTTTCATTTTGAATCAAAAAAGGTAACAGGCCACTATCTTGTGGTCCTTTAATCCATCTGCCTCCAGAAATAGACACACTCTCACCTATATACGAACTCTATTTCTCTGAGGCAAATAAAAGAAAAGCCTGCTGTAAAGACATGATTCTACACATGACTCATAGAGTGGCCTCTCTGAGGTCACAGTTACTTGTCAATTAGTAAAAACAAAATTAAACAAAAAAGCCACCTCCTTCGTGAATTTAAGGGAAAGCAAATTTGTGTCTTACTGATGCAAGAAAAGTACAAACTACAATTTTTTTTTTTTAATTAAAAAGAAATTACATCTAGTTAGTATAGCGTTCCTTTGCCTTTCTTGTGTTGATAATCCAATTTGGACTGACAGCGCAGGTTTCACTTTCTCAAAGGACCCAAAATTTTATAATGTAGCTGGTTTATTTAAAGTAAAATGTTCTAAAATTATTACACCCCTTTGCCTTCTTAAACAGAATACATCGCACACATGTAACTACCTCTCAGTGGTCACTTGCTAGCCTATAACAACCCAGTCCCCTCAGAGGCTCTGGGGCTGTGCCTCTGTAACAAATGCTCCCAGACTGCTCTGCATTTCGAAGTCCTGTATCCGTTTGTGAGATTTATTCCTTGTTATGTACTTGCTAGCTGCTACTTGCTCCTGCTGTGTCAGCTAGAGAAAGCTGACATTCCTCTGCTACTTCTAGCTTCTGATCTGCCACGGGTTGGAAGCAGATAACCAAATCCATTAAAAACAGGTGTAAAGAAGGAGACCAGGCTTTCTCTCCCCTGTATCTTTACTTGCTGAACTTAGTCACCCAGGGTCCATCTCACCTGCGACCACCATCGCGAAGGTCTTCCCAAAATCCCCCGACTGAACACAAGCTCTTCCTTCTTCTGACGCCCCAGCTGTTTTACATCCCTGCTCTGACACTTCCGACAAATTCCCTGGTAGAATGAGTGCATCCTTACCTTATCCTGCCTCCTACCTGATTTAAATCCCTGTGATAGGCGGTCTCTAAGATGGCCCCCAATAATCTCCTCCTCTGGTATTCCTGTCCCGTGAAATCCCCTCCCCTGAGTGTAGACTGGAACTAGAGACTCACGTCTAACCATGAGAATACAGCAAAGTGATAGGATGTCCCTTTCAAGAGGAAATTAGGGTACAAAAAGACAGTAGCTTGTCTTGGCCATCCTCTCTTGCTATCTCCCCTTCTTGGTGCTCTCATTCTAGGGGAAGTAAGCTGCCATACCATGAGTAGCTCTACGGAGAGGCTACTCTATATAGTCCATGTGAGACCTGCCAGCAGCCACTGAGTGTGTTTAGAATTGGATCCTCCTCTGAGGCTCAGCTGAGGCTGCAGACCCAGCCAACTCCTTTGACTGCAGGCTTATGACAGTCCCTGAGCCAGAAGCATCCCGCTAAGCCATGAATGGAAAGTGTGCGATAATAAATGTTTGTTGTTTTAAGATGCTAAGTTTAGGGCAATTTGTCATGCAGTAACAGATAACTAATATAATCCCTTAAGAGCTAAAACAGTATTCCACTCGTCTGAATGACCCTTGTAACACCTAGTTTCACATTTCTGAGCATGAAAGGAAGTGAGGGTGACTGGAGTGCCGGGGAAAAGAAGAAGAGACAGGGCTGGAGAGGCGGGCAGGATCGGAACTCACCGGCCTCGTGGGCCACGTTAAGAGTTTCGATTCTTAACCAGAGTGATAGGGAGCCACTGGCACATTTGAAGTGTGTGTGAGTGTGTGTGTGCACGTGCGTGCATGTGTGCATGTGTTTATGTAGAAGGGGTGACTTGATCAGATTTGCATTTCCAGCAGATCGCTCTGCCTGCCTTGTAGAGAATGAATTACAGGGCAGGAAACGTGAAAGGGGAAAGACTTGTTAGCAGATTATTACAATAGTTCAGAAAAAATAGCCCAGCAGTTTGAACTATAAGGGTTATGATGGAAATCGAGGAAGGAAACATATGAGAGAGCTATTCAAGAAGTAAAGTTAACAGGCCTTGGGGATGGTGTGGACATGGAGAGACTGATCGACAGGGTGTGAGGTGTGACTCCTGCACGTGTGGTGTGCTCCTATGGGTGATGGAGCTGTCTGCTGAGGCCAAGAGCTCTGGAGAAAACCAGGAGTTGAGCGAGGGCTTGGGGTCTTGTCCTAATGGGGAACTGGATGAGCTTTAAATCACCAAGTCTTTGGGCAATCTATTTTGCTGGCTCTTTCCTTAAGGGGTATTTTCATTATTCTCCTGGTCCTTTGCTCTATTCCAGACAGGAGATATGTTATAACATACCTGATAGCCTCAGAATCCAGTTAACAAACCCAGTAATGTATGAATTTCTGCCCATGAGGCCAATGCCACCTATACAACTAGAAAAAGAAATTCAATTATAACTGTGAAGATGGTCCCTTCCCAGTTCCTCCGTGATCAAGCAAGACTGTCATTGCTTGGCCATTAATTTGCTTCTGTTTCATCTTAACAATGATGGGACATTTATTAAACACCTCCTATGTGTCAGATACCCTGTGAGCCTCTTTGCACACATCACTTCTAATTCCACAAGCAAGATCCTGTATGATTTCTATAAACAAGGAAGCTCAGGGAGGCAAAGTAACTTCCTAAGGTAACAGAAGTGGTGAGTTGGTAGAGGTAAGGTTTAAATCCAGGTCTGCTGGATTTAAAATCTGTGTTCCTCCAATATCTGTGTTCCTCCAATAACTCCACCTCTCCATTTCCATAGGATCTTTCTTTCAGACCTGCTTTACCCAGTTAGCTAGCTTATCCATATAGTCAATCCACTTTGGTTGCTGAAACAGCTGAAAACACCAGATCAATATTTTTTTCCTCTCTTCTCCTGTTCTGTTACCAACAGACACCAATTAGAAATGAACCTCTAATTAACCAAGCCCACATCTCAGAAGGTAAGAACATATGCACCTTAAATCCATTGGATGCAACACACTTTCCAGGATAAGTAGGTGACAGTTAATATACAAGGCTGCTCCAGAGACAGAATAAACTGGAAGACTTCACATTTATTCGATTAATTGAAGGAAATGGTGTATCTTTTTAAATCATGCTTTTAAAACGTAGTGATGTAGAAAAAAAAAAAATCCAAGCTTTGGTCTCATGTGGATGTTTCATGATGAGCATAAAATAACACGGAGTAAACCACAGGTTCTGGACTTCTCTGAATCCTACACAGAGGTCTACATAGCAGAGACCCCCGAGGTGGTTCCTGAAGGTGGAGGAGGGAGAGACCCCAGAACACCATGCTTAGGGGAAGGGCAACAAGCAACCACCAGCCCCACAAACTGGGCAGGCTTGAGACACATCTCTTCCTTTACAGGTTGGCAGCATTCCTATCACACCCACAGTCCCATAAGAGAGCCATCGTTTATGTAAATCGCAGTGATAAGACATGTGATTACAAGTTCAAGGACACAGCACCTCCCATGCCATCCAACTTCCTGGGTCTCCCCAGGTGTACTGCATACATGGGGCAATGCCAGGCCATCCTACCAATCCCAGTCTGGGTAGGCAGCCACTCCTTGACTGTGTCCCCCCAACACACCCCTGTGTCTTCATTTCTACTATGGACATCGGAGTACAGGTAATTGCAGGGGCAGGAAAAGTGGGGTTTGGAGTTAACCGTCTTCAATGCGCCAGGCACTGGGCTGAGTTCAAGAAACAAAATGGTGGGCAAAGACGGCGACAGTCCTGAAGCTTACATTCAGCTAAGCTGTGCGACCTTTGGCCTGTTGAGTTTTCTAAACTTGTTTTCTCATCTGCAAAGAGGTGGATCATAATAATCCTGCATCAGAATTGTACCGGTGGGGTGAAATGCGACAAATAGCAAATACAAAGCAGGAAGAGTCGCTGCTAGCTGGCACTGTCGTGTGATTTACCACGCTGTCGCCTTGTCCCAGGTCAGTCGAGTTGGAGAGGACTGCTTGGATGAGTGTTTCCCACATTTGCAGCATCAAGAATCTCTTTAAAAAATAAACTCTTAATTGCCCCCAAGAACCCCGTATGTTAAATGATGTTAGCTACCTAACTGCATTAAGCGTTCATTGTTTCTCTGTTTTATTCACCTAAGACATCGGTATGATTAGCATTTAAAAAATAATGTAGAGAAAAGATAAACTGGACTTCATTCAAATTTTTTAAATTGTACATCAAAGAACATTATCTAGAAAGGAGACAACCCAAAGAATGGAAGCTTTCCAACCATATATCTCATAAGGGTATAGTATCTAGAATATATAAAGAACACTAAACACTCAACAACAAAAAACCCCAATTTTAGAAATAGGCAAAGGACTGGAATAGACATTTCTCCAAAGAAGATTAATAAATGGCCAATAAGGACATGAAAAGATGCCCAATATCATTAGCAATCAGGAAAATGCAAATCCAAGTCACAATGAGATACCACCTCACACCCACTAAAATGGCTATAATAAAAAAAGATAAAATAACAAGTGTTGGCGAGGATGTGAAGAAATTAGAACCCTCATAAACTGCTGGTGCAAGTGTAAACGGGTGCAGCCCCTGTGGAAAATAGTTTGGCAGTTCCTCAAAAAGTTAAATATAGAGTTACTTTATGACCCAGCAATTTCACAATTAGGAATACACCCAAGAAAACTGAAAACATATGTTGTCACAAAAACTTGTATACAAATGTTTGTAGCAATATTATTTGTAATAGCCAAAACAGAACCAACCCAAATCTCCGTCAACTGAAGAACTAATTGACAAAACGTAACATATCCATACAGCGAAAAGGAATGAGGCACTGACACATGTCATAACATGGATAAACCTTGAAAACATTAAGCTGAGTCAAAGAAGCCAGTTACAGAAGACCACATATAGTAGGATTCCATTTGTATGAAATGTCCAGAACAGGCGAGTACAGAGAGAGAAAGGAGGTTAGTGACTGCCAGGGCCTGGGGGAGGGAGGACAGTGTGACTGCTAGTGGGGACAGGGTTTCCTTTTAGTCTGATGGAAACGTTCTGGAATTAGTGGTGATCATTGCACAACTTGGTGAATATACTAAAAATCACGGAACTGTACATTTTAAAAGGGTGACATTTATAGTATGTGAATTATATTTCGATAAAAAATGTAAGTGAGCTGAGTAAATATAATTCCACCTAAAGCAGAGAAATTGAACATGTTAATTATGATGCAGCCTCGCTGGAAAAGCCCAAGATTTGACTGAATTCTGGGGCCACCCCCTGACTAGTTCTATGACCTTGACCAGTTGGTTGAATCTCTCTGTTTACCAGGGTCTTCATCTGTAAAATGGGATAATATCACTATCTGGTCATAAAGATCAAATAGATAATGTATGTAAAGTGATTAAAAAATTGTGTCCTATGGTTAAATGTGTGGGGAGGGTGGTGGCTATTTTCATCAGCTCCCTGATGGAACAAAGATAAAGCCAGTGCCCCAATCTGATGAGTGAAAGACCCGGCCCACCCTGACCCTCCCCTCCAGTCCTGTCCCCCTCACCTCCGGGGTCAGCGCGTTGTTGTCCGAGGTCTGACTGGACAGCAGGATGTGTGTGAATCCCTCTTCCTTCCGCACGACGATGTCCCGAAACCGACAGTTGCTTTCATTCTGGCGGACGCTGTACCTGAGCCTCTTGTCAAAGACGTAATCCTTCTCTGCGTCCAGCTTCCTCTTCACCGGGCTGTGCATGTTTAAGCCCCCGTTGGTCAGAGCAGAGCCTTCCAAAATCAGATACACCAAGTGAGAAACCAAGACAGGAACAATCACACAAGAGTGAGATCAGAGAGCATGCCGGTTTTCACGGGGAGGGTCAGATGTGCTGGGACCCCGTGCACCCTCTGTGGTGAAGGTCCCGGGCCTTAGCTGCTCTATCTCCAAATTCAGAAGAGGGTAGAGAGGGCCCCATGCGATACTTGATTCCCCTCTCCTTCTGCTTAGATGCCATCAGCAAAAGGGAACCCATGCCTAGAAAACTATGGCCATAAAACAAAACAAAAGCACTGCAGTTTCATTCACATTCACCAAAACCTGGAAGCAACCAATATGTCCTTTACTAGGTGAATAGATAAACAAACTCGTCCATTCATACAATGAAATATTATTCAGCGATAAAAAGAAATGAGTTATCAAGCCATGAAAATACATGAACAAATCTTAAATGCATATTGCTAAGTGAAAGAAGCTAGTCTGAAAAGGCTACAGATTGCATGATTCCAATTATATAACATTCCAGAAAAGGCAAAAATATAGAAACAGTAAAAAGGTCAGTGGTTGCCAGGGGTTCAGGTGGAATAAGAGGAGGGTGGAATAGGTTAAGTGCTAGGGATTTTTTTAGGGCAGTAAAACTATTCTGTATGATACTATAATGGTGCATGTAAAACAAACATTTGTTGAATCCCAAAGAACTTCATAGCACAGACAATGTATCTTAAAGTATGCAATTTAAAAAATAATAATAAGAGATTGGGGGGATGCAAGGATGGAATGCAGCATGGGATAAAAGAATCTACCTGTATTATTACAAATGTAAGAAACATCCCCTCACTGAAGAGGGGAGGGGGAAGGTCCTGACCTACGGAACTTCAGGAATGAGTGGAGTCTGTAAAGCTACAGGCAAAATAACCTGTACAGAGCACCGAACTCCAGCTGATAAAGCTGACTCCCATGGAGACAGGTATGAGCTAAGAATTTTGAGACCACGGGGGTGGGGTGAAAAAAGCAAAGGGATGAAGCACAAGTTAGTAGTTATAAAACAGTCACAGGAATTTAGAGTACAGCATAGGGAATGCAGTCAATATTATTGTGACGGCTGTATGTAGTGCCAGATGGATGCTAGAGGAATCGGGGGAATCACTTCATAAATTATATAAATGTCTAACCTTTGTGCTGTATACCCAAAACTAATATAAAATAATAAAAAAGAATTCTGATACTATGATACATGCATGCTGAAATTGAACAACTAAGTAGATGGCAGATGGTAGGAATAAGGTTTCTCATCATTGAAGTGACAGTTTACAGATAAGCAAGGGGAGGAGGCTAGAATGACCCATGTGATAATGGATTAGAGTTGAAGACATCAATATGAACTCACATTTAGCTTAATACAAATACAGACGTTTCCATACGGAAATAGTTGTAGATAAGTGTATATACATAAGTTAGTATATACATGGGCGTTTCCTTGCTCTGTCAGCTGACGGGGTCCAGAATCAATGGCATCCCAATAGCAGCCAGCACATACCTAGGAATCAGATCTTGGTTTCTGATACCATTCTCAATAAAAGAAATCAGGGCTCCCTAGAGAAATGGTTGATTCTAGGACTGGCATAGGAAACATAAGCATATAGTGGCTAAAAGGACGTTGTAAAAAAAAATTAAAAACAACCTTCACGATGATGGGGCTATGTCAAAAGGACACAGGTGCCAACTGATGGCCAAAGATGGAACGATCTGAGCACCAAACTACAGTATTACATTATAACTGAAAGAATAAAGATTCATGAAATAAATAAAAGATTGAATAAATGAAGAAACAGGAGAAAAGAGACAATTCTCCCACACACGAGAATTCTAAATAGTTTATGTGGACACTCTGCCTTCAAGGAAGGGCAGCATAACTACCCACTCTCTGAGTGTGGCCTGCGCATAGTACAATGTGGAAAGCTGGGGGTGTGGGGGAGAGCAACTTGACAATAGAGAGCCCTGGCTGGGGCAGATGGAGAAGCCAAAGTCTCCTCAGCCAGGAGATCAAGGTCAGCATCCACAGTGTAAGTGGCGGTGATGGCATGCACCCTCGATCACGATGTGAGAATGGCACTTCGCCTCTGTGATCTTCCTCTCAAAAACCCACGTAGTGAGATCATCAAACAAATCCAAACTGATGGATATTCAACAAAATCCCTAATCAGTACACTTCAAAACTGTGACGGTCACCAAAAAAAAAAAAAAAAACAGGAAAGTCTGAGGAACTGTCACAGCCCAGAGGGACCAACGGAGACGTGAAGACTAAGAGCAACAGGAGCTCCTGGATGGGATCCTGGAACAGACATTAGATAAAAACTAAGGAAACCTAAGTAATGTATGTACTTTAGTTAATAATGCTATGTCAGTATTGTTTCAATTGTAACAACTGTACCATACTAATGTAGGGCATCAGTAATAGGAGCGGCTAAGTCCGAGTACATGGAAACTCTCTGCGTTGTCTTCCCATTTATTTTCTCTGTAAATCTAAAACAGTTTAAAAAATGAAGTGTATTTTAAAGAATACATTTTAAAATTAAGTTAACAATATATTTTTTAAAACCACAACTTCCCAGGCGACTCTGACATGCGAGCAGGTTTGAGACCCTGGTGCACTTTTGAGCGTGCACCAGCACCACCCAGAGAACTGTGAAAAACCAGTCTGCCGGGCACACCCCACGCTGCGGCCACTGCTCCGGAGACCAGGCTTTGAGAACCAGGATCCAGACAATGCAGAGATTTGTCCATCAGCAGGCGCCCACCCTCCCACCCCAGGGCGCCACATATAAGCAGTCTTCTTCATGCCCTATGCTTGAATGCTGATGAAGGTCTGGAAATCTTGCTGAATTCAGTATTTCTGCTGTGGGTAGGGGTGTGACTGCCCTGTGCAGGATGAGGCAACCTCTCTGAGAGGACCTCACTAAGTTACAGTGGTGTGGGACAAAGGGTACAAAGAAACAGAGCAAAAGGCTTACTATGTGCTAAGCATTGTTGGAAGCTTTCATTGTGTTTTTGGCAGGGAAGGGAAAGAATTCGCTATGGAGACTGAAATGCTGCATCCCAACAAGAAGCCGGCCCCTGAGGCCAATCCTGCCCGCCTTGGAAAACTTCTGGGTAGACGGAGTGGGCACATCCTGGTTGCCGATCCTCAGGAAGCAGGTACAGAGGATCCAACGACATAACATATTTAAAGGACCCACAACATAGTAAACAAACAAATAAGAAATCTGTGTCTCTCACATGCTTTGTAATCATTATGACCTGGCTCATCACAAAAGTATTCCTGTAATATTTTCTGTGTGAATCCTGTCTCTCCAACAATACTATAAAGTATTTTGAGGTCAAGGTCACTGTTACACAATGCAGCCCAGACCAGCATAATACCGAGCACCAAGAAGTTCACGGGATTATTCCTTGGCCTCTGGGTGGATTCAGATGCTTAATTAGCATGAGGGTCTTGGAATCTCCAGAACCAAGCCAAAGGCAAGGACCAAGGAATGCTTCACTGGACCCCTCTTCCCGCATGCCGGGTCTCCACGCAGGTGAGCACTCAGCAGCAAAGGGGCACAGAGGCACAGTGGCCTGTGTCATCTGACAGCTCCCATGAAGCCTCCTCATGTTGTACTTTTCCATTACTCAAAGCAACTGGGCTTTGTCAAACACCACAAAGTGGGGAAAACGATTCGATGAACTCCGGAAAGTAAACGGGAGCATTTAATTAAAAGGCTTGTGTAAAGGAAGCTGTTTCTTCAGGGTTAACCTCAAAACCTCCTCGGAAGGGCTTCCTAATTGGAGCTGGCCACGGTCTCTGCAGCAGCTCAGGCACATGCGTGCTGTGGTCCTGCTGGCAGAGGTTAGCACAGCACAGAAGCTGCTCTCAGTGGACACTGGCTCTTGCCTGGGGAGAAGTCAGAAGCTCAGGGCTCTGGTACATCAGTGCTTTCCAGGGCTGGGAAAAGTTTAATAGAATCCTCCTGCCCTGCAACTGAATCAAAGTGCTAATAAACAATGTTATCAAGAAGGAGGATGTGAAGGTTACCTGTTTTGAGCAGCTCAATATGTTGTCTCTAACCTTCTCAATAGCCCTGCAAAACCGTCATTGTGAGTCCATTTTGCAGATAAGGAAAAGTGAATAACTTGCTGAAAATCAAAAAGGTTTTACATAGTAGAGTCAGGACTGAAGCCAGCTGCCTTCCATTTGATTGACTGATTCATTCAAAATCGATTTATCACTTCCTATGGGCTAGCTAGCTATCACACTAGATGATAAAAATTAAAAAAAAAAAATTAGAGCAATAAGGTGTCTGCCCTCACAGAGTTTACTTGGGGTGGAGGAGATGGAAAGTAAACGAGTAAACTAATACCTAAAATAATTATAGATAGGAAAACAACACAACGACGTGATAACGAATAATGGGGGAGGGGTGTTTCTGTGAATTCAAGGCCTTTTTCTCAATCAGGATGCTTGGCTAGAGTTTCCAATGGTGACTTGGAAGATGCACTATCACCTGACAAGAGACTCCTTAGAGACTCCCTAGGGTCTGAACTCACATCATCTGTGGCTGTATTACATCACATTTCTCATTATAAGTGGCTAAAACAGGTCCTGTGTTTTAGGAGACGCAGAGGAAAGTCGCCCCTCAGAGCCTATCATACTAACCTGACATGGAGCTGCTTTCAAGGCCTCTCCCTTTCAAGGGCATCGTACTCCCCTGAAAGACGGCAAGCGGCAAGCTGGCAAGGAAGACGCCATGGAAAACAGAACATGCCAGGAGCATGGAAGTCGAAGGCTTTACAGCCAGGCAGTATAAAACTCCCAGCCCTGCCTTTGCTAATTGGAAAGAGCTAGGAAATCACATGAGTTCTTGAGCATTAGTCTCCTTAATTGTTAGATGGGGACTATAGTACCTGCTTCTTAGGGTTGTTCTAAGCTATTTTAATTTAAGAACTGATATGGGATTAGCAAGAGCCCGGC